TTCATAATGCTAAGGCGTAGAATGGCCTTTTGGGTACAGTTACTGCCCCGTACTGCAACCCTTTTAGCCAACGACCCAAGTGTATGTCAATCACTCATAAGCGACCCATCAAACCAGTAGGCAAATTTCTCACCTGAATTTCATGGTAAAATGATTTAATAAGGTATTATTATTATTATTATTATTATTATTATTATTATTATTATTATTATTATTATTACTATTACTATTACTATTATTATTATTATTATTATTATTATTATTATTATTATTATTATTATTATTATTATTATTATTGGTACTACTTATTGTTATTAGTTAGAATAGTTGTGCCTCCCCACACAATATAATTTCAACATTCAATCTACAATCACATGAATCATATAGCCTCTTACACCAACTACCAGAGTGCTCCGTATTTAAGAGGAAGTGTAATTGAAGAAGAAGAAGAAGAACAATATAAAAACCTATTTTTCTATTCGCTTTCAGAGATGCTCTAGACTACTTGACTGTTACTCGTTAACCGCGTATTTTTACCGCGTACTCTGGAAACCAGCATTAATACAACATGTGGTTTTATCTTTGGATTGATGTATATCAATCTGTCAATTATTCATTTATTTCCAGTGTCTTATTTGATATTCGCATACTACCTTTGTAATCCTATTGTTGCTTTGTATTCTCACTTTCAGTTTCGCGTCAATAATAATTTTATGACTTTTTGCTAGGAAACAAACTGACATTCAATTTCAAATAAATATAATAAAAAATGATTGATGAAATTAATTATCGCGTTCAAAAGGTCAATGATGGCTTTTCAAATGGCTATTGTATCTATGTGAATAACAACCATTTTCTTAATAATAACAAATTGAATATTTTTAAGTTGGAGTGCGCCCTCACTAATCATCACAAAAATGCTTTGTTGACGAATAGGGATTCCACCGGCTAAATATACAGTGCCTAATAATAATGCAATCGTTAAGAAAAATCTACATGCTATAGCGGCTGAAGGTAGATGGAGCAATTCCACAATTCACCACTTTTGCTGGAAAGAAACGTTTCAGAAGTAATAATTATTTTTTAAATTAAATATGAATTTCATTAAGTTCCCTTGAATCCGCATCTGGTAATGTATCTCCAATTAATTCAGACTCTGGCATAATTGCACGTCCAATATCTTAAAAAGCGAAGTGAAGGGGGTGTGGGGTCGACCGGCCACTGCTTTTTGGTTAAGACAAGGTGGACCTCAGTTTAATCATGCAAAAGACAAGGCGACCATCAAATTTATCGTAGTAAAATAACTTGTTTATTAGAAATGCATTTTACCATGGTTTAATACAAGAGCTCATTTCTATGATTATTTTTACTACTCTATCTATTACTCATGGTTTCTCGTAGTTTAATAGGGGATCGTCCATTTTGTACACAGGTAGATCACATTTAAATAATAATTGTATTAGCCTACAGTTAGCTGGATCTTCTTTAGCAGTTCACGCAGTTTGTCAAATCCTAGAATAGCTCGAAATATTGTTTTAGTTTTTTTAAATTTACAGAGTAATTTCACACTTACGAATTGATTTAACTGTTATCCGGGGTTGTTTCCAGTTCAATTGTCTGGAACAAAAGTCAGCATATCCCTCTGTTGAAACTAGAGCAGGCTATGAAATTATATATTTATTAGGCCTGTCTACATCATCATGTTGTTTTGTTTACCTTATTCAAGACGCCTAATATGTATTTGGAATGAAACTACTAGGCACACATCCATTTGCAAAACATGGTACTAGGTTTTCGTTTTTAAAAAAATCATTACTCAAAAATAAACATAAGCAGTTGGAAGCAAAATACAGGGACATTTTTATTAAAAAAAAAACAAAAAACACTTCAATTCAATTCCATTCAATTCAATTTATTGGTCAAACTCATAATAACGGCATGTAGCCTAAATAATAAATTAGAACAACAGACATTTAAAAGTGAAATTATATTAAATTTCAATCCTCTTTTAGATTATGCCAATTTATTTATATTTCTAATACCGTATTATATAATAATACCAGTATTTCAATTTATATTATATATTTTTGTTTTTACTCTGATCAATTAAAGCCTTTAAGATATAGGATTAATAGAAAACAAGAGAAAAGAAAACTGTGGAAAAAGTTGTGGTACTGCAGGTAGGTTTTGTTTATGATGTGCGCCTGGTTTATACTTATCTTCCTAATTATCCCCATTGCATTAGATTGTTCAATTTGTATCCCTCTCTCCCCCTCTCTACAAAGGCTGCCGAACAAGATTCTTGCAAGTCGTGTATGGTGGCCAACTTTCTGTGGTATCATTAAATGTTGTATGTTTGTTTTGTAGGCCTAAGTTTTTTTTGTTTTTTTAGCGAAAATCAAAACTGTAACTTGAATTTTATTGAATATCTGTTGGCATTTTATGCTCAAGAAATTCGCCGACAGCCATCAAAATGTTGTAACGTTACTGGATAGTCAAATGGAAGTCTTTGGTCCGACGACCCCGTCGTGGTTCGGGGTGGAGGGGGGGGGGGTCTCAATATATTTTTATTACTTTAGATTATTCTGTACATTCACATTTCCTTATTTGCAATAAAGTCATACAGTATTGTATCTTGTATGTATAATTAACAGGCCATTTTCCCTTTGTTGTTATTCTCTTTTTGCTTTACTCTTAATTTTTGGTACACATCTTTCACATGAATCCAAACAAATAAAAATTCAAATAAAGATTAATCAATTTGATTGACGTTTGTTTCAAGGAATACTCTCATTAGCTCGAAAGTACAACATCATGTTCACAACAAAAACCAAACGATTGCTTACTGTATTACAATTTTCTTTACAACGGACAGTACATGCTTCACACTGCAATCTTAAGAAACTTTTTTACAAAATATTAATAAATAATTACAGTTATGGCTGATAGATTGATGAATGAATGAATGAATGAATTAATTAATTAATTAATGAACGAACGAGAAAGTCAGGGCGAATGAACTAACGAACGAACTCATGAATGAATGACTAAATGAATGAATGAACGAATGAACGAATGAATAAACGAATGAATGAATGAATGAAGAAATAAATAAATGAATAAATAAATAAATTAATTAATTAATGTATGTATGAATGGATGAATGAATGATTGAATGAATGAATGAATCAGCGAATGAATAGTTGAATAACGAACGAATGCATGAATGAATGAATGGACGGATGGATGGATGAATGAATGGACGGATGGATTGATCGACGCATACAACCATTCAGATATTATATGCAATGAATTAATTGTGGTTACCTCTAATCTAATAATGATTAAAGGAAACAACATCCCGAATAAAAAAGTCATATTCTTCGAATGATAAGGCGCAGGGCCGGACACATGGATATGAACCGGTTAGAGGTTAAGTAATCCGGATTGAACATTTCCATCCTCATGAGGCTAATGTGTTGCAGCGGAAGTGAGGTGTTTTAATATGTATTACTTGCTTGAATGTCTATTGACAATGCATTACCAACATGTGAACAATCATAATATTATTAGTGTATAAAATAAAATAATTGAATACTGTATACAATTTAATCTCTGTATTATTATGTAATAATCTACAATAATAATAATAATAATAATAATAATAATAATAATAATAATAATAATAGTAATGATAATACTACTACTACTACTACTAATAATAATAAAAATAACAACAATAATTTATAAAGCGCAAATATCACTAAACCGAAGTAAAAATCAAAGACGCTGTGCATGTTCAGATGTTAAAACAGTGGGTTTTGAGATGGTCTTAGCAACTGAAGGTGAGTCAGTAATATGTTTTGGGAGGGAGTTCCAAAGTGTGGCAGCTGTTAAAAATGATCTGGTGCCCTGTTAACTTGGCTACTTGTACTAAAGAAGGATACTTCCAAACCAATATTTGATTTTGTGAGTAACCGTGTGTACTGACCTGAAACAAAATAAACAACAATAATAATAATAATAATAATAATAATAATAATAATAATAATAATAGTAATAATAATAATACTACTACTACTAATAATAATAATAACAACAACAATAATTTATAAAGCGCCAATATCACTAAACCGAAGTAAAAATCAAAGACGCTGTGCATGTTCAGATGTTAAAACGGTGGGTTTTGAGATGGTCTTAGCAACTGAAGGTGAGTCAGTAATATGTTTTGGGAGGGAGTTCAAAAGTGTGGCAGCAGTTAAAAATGATCTGTGGCCGTAGGATTTGGTATTAACTCTTGGAACAATGAAAAAATTAACGTCAGAAGAACGGAGGGTATAATAATAATAATAATAATAATAATAATAATAATAATAATAATAATAATAATAATAATAATAATAATAATAATAATAATAATAATAATAATAATAATAATAGTAATAATAATAATAATATAATAATAATAGTATAATAATAATGATAATAATAATAATAATAATAATAATAATAATAATAATAATAATAATAATAATGATAATAATAAATAAGAATATGAAGAAGAAGAAGAAGAAGAAGAAAAGGAAGAAAAAATGATGTGCATATTTAATTGCAACCATCAGGTCAATGAGAATTATGGAGCTGTACATAGGCACAAAAGAGTATAGAAATTCTAGGCAGTCTAAAATGTGCAGGTGGATCAGAATCGTTTTGATTTAGAGTGAAGCTGGTACAGCATCCCTACTGGATGTTTTTCATTTTATTTCCAGTATTTATTTGCCTTCCTAAGAATATTTATAAGTTTAAATTTCTAGATACATAAAAAAATGTATAGTTTAACAATAACTGAGTTCTTTTTACTAATTTTTATAATTAGTATAAAAATATGAAAGGGTTGTACTAGACAGCAGCAGCCCGTCATCTTTACAGAACGAATTATATTCTTTAAATTTCTAGATTCATTATTTATATTTTGTATATTTATTCACAACTTAATTTAGCTTGAATAAATTATATAAGGTGTTAGTATTATAAAGGAGGTACTAGACAGCACTGCCAGTCATCTTTATGCAGAGCGAACTTTACCAGCACTATTTCACAAATAAATGAGTCATCGAAAGAAACAGCACACATAAAATATGCAAACAGACCCACAATGATAAAGTCTTGATATTTAAACGTCATTCTGCTTCAATCAGTTGAAGTTGAAGCTTAAAATTGCGGACCATCGGTAATCGATTTCGCAGGCGGTGATTGGAGCATAACCTATCGAACCTGCTTTGTTTCCTGTATGCCGCACCTTTGTAGGCAAGCATAGGCCAAACCAAAGAGAAAGGCCTACCATCCCAAACAAGTACACCTTAGTTTAGGAAATATGGCTCGGTGGTATTCGTTGATTTATTTCTTTATAATTCTACAGTCAATTTATGGTAAGTTTTTTTTTTTTAAACATTTTTTCTTTCAAGTTTTGCTTACTAGTTTACACGAACGGCCTAATGAATATTTTTAAAATGAAACGCAACATTAGAAATGTTTAAGTTTGTATGTTTTTATTATTTATTAATGGCTAAATAATTGTACACTTAATTTATGTCGCCTTTGTAAACTTGTAAACAAATCTTTAGTAACTATATTAGTGCTAGATAAGTTCACACGATAAGCCTAAAGATTTTCAACGAATCGCTACGGTAGAAATATTACGTTGTTTGTAAGCCTATCATGCGACAACTTGTATATTTATCTAATCTAATACTGTAAGAAGGTGATGCATAGGTATATGATAGTAAATGGTTCTATACTGTTTTTGGATAACGTACCCAAAGTATATTATACCAGGGAGTTGTTATAGTGACTATAACAACTCCCTGATTATACACTGTAGCCTATATCATCCATTAGTAGTCATAATAGAAAGCTTACAATATATTTCTTTTTATTATTTCTTTATATATAAAAATCGCATAAAACTTTCGACAGGGCTACAAACATCACATCTGCAATAAATTATAATCTCATAGGCCTATTACGGCCTATTACTCTCATAACGTTATTCCCGAATGGAGACAGTGGTGGCGCCGGCAGGGGGAGGGGGATTCTTCTTCCCCTTTGGACAGGCCTAGATCCCTGTCGTCTGACTAGGTCGTCGGATCAAAAATAAAAAATAAAATAATTTGCCTATCATAAACGTTATTTTGACTTCCAATTCCTAATATTTTGGTTTAAAGGCACATTTTGGACCATACTAAGCCATAAAAACTCTCCCTGAACCCTACATGAGAGTTTTTATTTCGGGTCGTCGAATTTGAATCATGGTTCATCCTTTAAGATATGGCTTTTAGCAGTTTTACTTTATTTTAAAAATTACTTCTAAAATATATGTTGTAAAATAGGTATTGTATTTAATAATTATATTAATTAAACTCGGTTAGAACCACAAATGTCTCCATGACTAACAATTTGAACGTCTTACTATGGCAACAAAAGTACAAAAATATATATATTTTTTTAAATTTAGTAATAATGCAATTTTTTCCTAATTTTATTTCATTTCTTCTCTAGCTATATTTACATATTAGCATAGCTTTAATTTTTTAAATTCTATCAAAATTCGTAGTTACAAGCAAACAAGATTAATCTTTCAGATGTTAAGATGATATCGAACATTGTTAAGAGATAGATACACTCACAGATAACTAGAATAGTGATGGTAATAATGATAATGATGATGATTATGATTCTAAGGATGATGTTTATGATGGTAACAATAATTATGACATAATTGAAATGGTATTGAGACAGATAAATCGTACTAATACTAGTACTGTTGTGACAATAGTAAGTCTATGCGTACTTATGATGATGTCGATAAAGGTAATGGTAACAACAGATCAACTAAATTAACAGAGTACCAAAAAAAATGTACCAAATAAACAGAATCTTGAATCCTGAATAACATGAAAATGAATTGATTATTGAAGAGTAAATTGTGATGGTAATACCGCTACCTAAATTACATTGATAAACAGTATCGGTTTATTCTGCCATCATATTTATTATCACCATTTTATTTTAGAGGTCGTTGCCACGACAAATTATTTTGCTTAGAAACACGGTTAAGCTGCCGTTGAGCAGTGTGGCTTAAGTTTTAAGTCCAGTCGATTATTTGAGTCCTTGCTTCGAGCCTTTCACTCTTTACTTTGAACTTTAGGTCTATCTTGGTCAACGAGGTGATGATGGAAAGTTCTGTTCTGCATAATTATAGGCCTATAGATACATTAAAATTAATAGATCATCAAATAAAAGGATACATAAATCATTATTATTAGTTGTAGGTCTCAGTCATAGTTTCTGTAAAATCGGTATCGCCGATGACAGCTTTTGGCGACGCTGATTGGATGGTCTAATCGAGGAGCCTTTCCTATTGCGTAGGAGATATCTACGTAGTGTATAACAGTGAAACACTGCAGCGGTAGTTATACCTCCCCGGTGTAGCGGCGATTTTATGGAAACTCGGCTTTATTCAAACACCTTTTCATCTGCATTATTTTAACAGTACTGTAGTCCCACTTGTTACAATGGATCAGTTAGTTAATCAATTATCTATGCTTTGCTATGCCCAAACGCATAAAAAAAAAAGGGGGTGGACCACTCCGGACTGTAAAATCAGAGCTCCAGTTTCGACTTTACCATAGCATAATATTATTCCTTTCCCCCATTGGTGAAACCTCACCTGGATTTGGTATTCCAAGAGATCATCATTCTGAATGGTGAATTAACAATGCAGCACGTCTATATTATTGTTTCGGGCCTTTCAAATCCACGTAGCTTCTTTTGTCACCACTGTTCTCAACAATCTCTCCCGGTTTGGATCCGAGCACCCGCCGCCAGTCATCGGTAAATACAATGATATAGGACTTGCCAACTAATCCCAAACCTCTATTGAGATTATACCAATATTGAGCATTGACAAACAAATGTTAACACAATATAAAGTGACAGTGTCACAATTTAATGCTTAAAGATTAGGCAGTGACTACAACAGTCTTTTAAAATACTAATTTCGTTTGGATGTTATTGTCCTATAAACAGATGCAAATAACATCCAAACATCCGTTTATAATACTGTTGTAAAAATAGCCACTGCTTGAATATTAAATATCTATCGTAAAAGTCATTTTAAAATTCATAGGCCTAGACGAATATTATCATGAAGAAAGAGTACTGGTGGTAGGCCTACATGATATTGACGGTCTTGCAAAAAAATAAAAAAACAAATATTCGGATATGACCTTGACATTGCATTGCTATCTAAAATTACGCTGTTCAATGTGGTTGTGATATTGTTTTGGTAATTATTTGGTTTGGAGATGGAGACGGTGGGATTTTATGAAATCTATCTAACCCCCTAATTAACTAATTATGCCTTTATAAATAGTGACGTAGTACAAAATTTCATTTGGCATGTGTTATTATTCCTAAAGACACAATACAAATACCGGTTCTGTACTCTTGAGAGAATCAACAGTTGCAATGATTTGTAAAAACAGAAAAAGGATTATATCAGTGCCAGTATAGATTGTTGTCTCATTCCCCGGATGTGAAATCATTGTTGTCGACACAATGAAGCAGGAGAATATCTTTTAATATTTTAAAATCAATAAACAAACATGATGATATAAGTAGGTAACACTAGACACAAACAGTATTGGCAAACTATTGTAAGAAGTTGCTATTGTTCAGAAACCACCAACAGCTGAGTAACAATGTAACAATAAGGAAGAGGTCATTGTCACGAAACATATGGACATTTCATAAGCAGTAATTCATATATTACCACCACCGACAAACATATTTCATTTTCGGTTTTTATTCAATTATAATTATTATTAAGATATTCATGTTTAATGGAGGTTATACACATTGGCACAAACACTACGCAACACAAATTAAAATTATTTATTTGATAACAGAGAGAGTAAATTGCGTTCCATAAATACATATGCGCATACGGTAAACAATTATAATATCAGCTAGCATGACCAACAATGCACAGTCATCTATCTTACAAATATTGGAATAAATTTTATAGGATAAAAACGAGGGGTGTGTATTATGCATCAGTCTATTGTATACAGTGTTTTGGATCAAAATAAGGCCTCATAGCTTACCAATCTAATGAAAGAGTGAACTTTGTGTGCATGTGAAGATGATCTGGTATGCCAGTAAAGCATCTAGGATTCTGAACCCATGCCGCTCCCATCCCACCCGCACTCCCCACTGGGAAGTGAATATCCTGCCACTAGAAAAAAAAAAAAACAAAAAAAAAAAAAAAAAACAAACAAAAAAAAAAACAAAAAAAAAACAACCCATGTAAATATAATTAAATACACGACTTCATATAAGAATAAATATATGCCCGATAATAAATACTAATTCAATTAGTCCACACTTAAAAGCTGCCTTCTCCAGTGACTTCAAGTATGCTGTACCACATTTTTATCAAATGACAATCATTGTAACAGACACTAGTCAAATAAATTAACGCTTTAATACAATTATCTCCACCTAAATGTGTTTTTTTTAATGCATGTAGTATTTGTTTTGTGAATTTAAAACAAAATAGGCATTATTATGAAATTATGAAAATAATCTCTAAGTGAAAACATAATTTTTTTTAAATAGGCCTACTCGTTCCATCGATTATGTTTTATTATGTATTATTTTTCAACATACTTTGATGTAATAATGACAATGGTCTTATCAAGAAGATATATAAGCTTTATTTTGTTGGTAGTAATACATACTGAATACTGATCGCCTGTCTGTCTGTCTGACTGACTGACAGGTGTTACTCGTTAGCCTACAAACAGAAAATGAATAATTGAATTGATTGACGATTGATGGTTTAAATCAACACACTGACACTGGATGTAACTATGACTCCAGTAAAGACACACTTGAAATTAACTAATGTATATCGCTATGTTTAATTCAAAGTGTATCTTTAGGTAAAAAATCTAGTGACGACTTATCAACGCTTAATCCTCTTTTCCTGCATTTCTTTTTTTTTGTAATCATTACAGCTCAAGAGAACAAGATATGGGTACTGACTGGTGATTCGGTCACTTTCACTGTTCCGGATGTCGATGAAACGTCTATCAATGGACTTGTATGGGAGAAAGATCGTAATGAAATTTACGAATGGGCCAATCAGGACGTACGCAATCTGACAAACGTTACCGTTGAAGATTCTGGGAATTATGAATGTTACTATTCCAATCCTGAATCGAGCGAGGCAGACTTACAACTTTTGAAAAGGTTCAGTCTGGATGTTATCGGTAAGATATACTAAACGAGATCTAGGCAATAAATAGGCCCACGAGGCAAGTTGCAAAAAAACCCAGTGACACCTGACCAGGAGGCGACGGTTCCTGACTAGAAATAGTTCGTTGATGTGTTTGTTTTGACAATACTGTTGTTTTAAATATTCCGAAATATGTTTGTGTATGTTTAGAACCTTTCATTCAAAAAACCTACGATTAAACAACCAAAGTTGAATCCTGAATCTTCAAATCTATATTGCTGTGCATTATTATTTCCAAGATATCATAATCATGGTTTTACTTTGTTACATTAGAGAGATTTCAGATAACGGTTTTTCGAACCTCTCTTTTGGGCATCTCGCTCAACGGTTTTCAAAACGGCAAATTGTCTCTCGGTGAATGGCATCCTTGACGGTAAAATGTTTTATTAGCGAATTGACATGTAGATAAAACGTCTGTCGATCAAATCTAATATGCCAATGGAAAATTTTGCAGGCAATCTGTTGACAAAACTTAGTTTCCAGCTCAGTAACTTTCATCACCGATTTTAGAAAACTTCGTCTCTATTTTATTTGTTGTCCATAGCGGATTTTGAAAACAACTTGACACCATTGATTATCTCTCTAGTTTTATCAAGGATTTCTGAAACTCTCTGTCTTTAAAAAGCACGTTTTCTAAAAACATTCTAAAAACGAATCTAAGGTATAGTTGTCTAAATGTCACCATAACGTTTGTACTGAAGTATTTGGAGGTTGTTGTAACAGGTCATTCACGTGGGTCTATGTCGATGCTGATACATTAAAAATAAGCATGTATGTAAACATGTATATAAACATATATAGTGCTTCCATAGTTAAGATTGGTACCACATTTATGAGACTTCAGATGCCAGCATTTATTTATTTTATTAAGTAGAAGCGGTTGTAGGCTATATTTATCAAAATCTATCTATAATCTATATTTATAAAGACGTAAATTATGCCTAAAAGGCATCTTATGGATTAAGAACAGAATCTCAATATTGGTTTGCATTTCCTTTTAGGCCTAATTTATGTCTTTATAAAATATAGATTTAACACCGATTTTGATAAATATAGCCTACTGTGCCGCAATTCTATGGAGAAAACAACGCCACGCGACGCGCGCGCAACGGATCGTTTTTATGGACGATCCGTTCAGACTGCTAGCGTACCGACAAGCAGCAGACGGCGTCACGTCGTCTAACGCTCACAGGTAACGAAGTTAGATTCGTCGCACGGCGCCGTGAGTTCCCGGCGTTATAAGGTTTTAACTTAATGCCTGTCTCTTATACACATCTAGATGTGTATAAGAGACAGATTTAAGGATACGTCAAATTATATAACATTACGCAAGCTGCTGATGATGATGATAATATTGGTGATGGTGATTTTTTAAAATCTTCAATCAATGACAAACTCTGCTTGACAATGGCGCCCCTCAAACAAGAACCATATTAAATAACACAGGAACCACTGATTAATCTCAGATAAGATAGTATAATACAGGAACAACTAAGTATTGAGCACTAAAGTTACAATCAGGATTATAATGGAGAATGATTGTCAGATATACTAGCTTAAAGCTAGTTTAGATTTTGGGAGAAAAAAAAAATCCCCAAGACACTGAAGTTGGAATCAGGTATTTTTTACCCATCAAGTTACAGGTTGATGTTGATGATGATAATTATTAATTTTACCTATGTTTTGCATGCTTTTAGAGCGTAAACTCGATGTGATCATATTTGCGGGCCTAGAGGTAAATGAGAATCAGTTTGGAAACGCAAAATGTGTGATACAGGGAGACCCGCTACCGAACACCGACCAAGTCTGGCTGCAAACCCCAGACGGTGGCCGGACAAAGCCAACTGATTATGTAGTACACGCAGCTAACTTTACGGTTGAGATGGAGTTCACAGAAATAAATGTATGGAATAAAAAGAAATATACTTGTAGCGTTGGCACGGACAGCACGAGTGTGAATCAATCCATCTATGGACAGGTCTACAGTAAGAATAATAATAATTGATTTTAAAATTTATCCAATATTATTGAAAAACCATTATCATCCTTATCATATCATTACCAATAACCATTTTCATTATTATTATCATAATCAGTATTCATCATCATCATCATCATCATCATCATCATCATCATCATCATCATCATTATCATCATCATTATCATCATCATTATCTTTATTAACATTACCAATACTAATATAATAATCACTTTTTGGTATTCATAAATATCATTATTTACAATAATAATTATTTTTGTAATTATCCTTATCATATTTTGTAATTGCAGAGACTCCACGACTTCATTTGCCACCAAATGTTGTAGTCACCAACGACAGTCTAACAGTGTCTTGGAAAGCGTGGCCAGATACTGATATTGGCGAAATTGGCGACGGACCAATAGTCAAATACAGTGTACTGTATAACTGCACAAATTCTAGCTCAAAGTACATTGGGGCCGGCGTTGATGGATCTACTACCTCAATGGATGTGTTTATTTCCGAATTATCCATAAAAAGAGGGTATTTGTGCACCTTCTTTGCGATCCCATCACGCCCGGGAAATGGTGGAGAAGGACCCTTCATGACTGGCGCTGCCAAGACTGTGTACATACCGTGTCTAAGTACGTGTTATTACTCGTGTAGGCTGTATAGAAATAACTCTGTGGAAATAATGAAGAGGGAGATGAATTAATTATTGAAATTATTGTATTATACGAAAGAGAGGGAATTAAGTGTTTGAAGAAACCATTCATATGCCTATATAGTTTGAATGGCGAGGATACTGGTGATGAATACAATGATGATGATGCTAATGAAGATTACTAATGACTAGGATGATGATGACGATGATGATGATGGTGATGATGAAAATGATAATTATGGTGATTGTGATGATGACAATGAGGATTAAAATGCTGACGATAATGATGAATATTATCTATTATTATCTATTATTATTATTATTATTATTATTATTATTATTATTATTATTATATTATTATTATTATTATTATTATTATATTATTATTATTATTATTATTATATTATTATTATTATTATTATTATTATTATTATTATTATTATTATCATTATGTTAAAATGGTAATACTCCTAATGATATAGATAATAATCATCATGGGTTTCTCAACACCATTTCTTTAAACCCTCTGACGTACAATTTGTTCCATCCTCTTACTTACAACACAACATTATAGACCTACGTAGGTAAGACTTGTTGCTGGGCACCGTATAAGAATATTAATATAATTTAATATAATAAACGATAATACATTTACTGTTTTCTTTACTGTATCAAATCCTTTCATAAACAGAACCACACAGTTCACCAACCGACGTACGTGTGACCCTAAACGGAACTGACACAATTCAAGTTGACTGGGAGGTAGGTATACTAATTGTGACGTCACTTCCTCCAAGACATGACTTTCATATTTCACATCATTGAAATCGTTAACTTAATGCCATCTTAATTATAAAATGCTAATAATATGAATTCATTCTTAAATAATATACTGTAGTTTTTAATTACCCGGCATGTCTTCAAAGAAATTTGTCAAGACATAATTTGTATGTTTTGCTGATATGAATAAAATAAATAAAAATACTATATAATATATTCTTATATTATATATTATATTATATTTATTATATTATATTATATTATATCTGTCTCTTATACACATCTAGATGTGTATAAGAGACAGTATATATATACTTATATATAATATATCATTTAATGTTAATTATCCAACTACAATATACATAACAAAACGTTTAGGACAGTTAAAGAAAATAAATTTTCAATAACCAATGAAGAGCAAACTGACTCTTTAAAAAAGAAACAAAAAAGAACTATGTGCAATGTTACAAACTTTTTTTAAAAGTATGTGATATATGACCATACGTATATTATTGTAATGAAGAACTTTGAATAAAATACCGGTAACTTTCAACGACTTTAATGTCAAAATTAATAGGCGCATTTGTGTGCCAATTAAGTAACATTAAAGTGTGTTCGCACTAACGTATAGCCAGGGAGCATTCATAACACACTACATCCTTGCTTTATCATCTTCAACAAGAAAAGCCCTATACTTTGCTACCAGATATTCAGCATTTGAACAGGGTTTTATAAGAGATAATTGTAAAACATTTAATCATAATGTTTAATAAGTTTAATTTATCAGGTACAAGCAGTAACTGTAACACCTACGTAGGTTTTCTTATTACCTTTTTGTTGAGTTTAATAAAAGGAAGCTAATTCCGGAAATGTCGTGGTTTCGGACCAAGGTTGAATCTTACAATGTAATTCCTACTTTAACGGATATTCATAGAGTATAGACCTATTTATTTATTTTTTTTAAAATTTCAATTTTGTAGTCGTCATTGTAAAATAACGGCATCAAAGCTGAATTGTGCATTAGCGTTAGTATGGAGAAAAAAAACCAATTACAAGTAGCACAGTAGCCAATGATTTTACAGTAGCCAATTTCTAAATTGCAAAAGCATGGCATCAAAATTACCAATTATTATTATTATTATTATTATTATTATTATTATTATTATTATTATTATTATTATTATTATTATTATTATTATTATTATTATATTATTATTATTATTTTAATTCTTGATCATCATTTACATTATTATTATTATTATTATTATTATTATTATTATTATTGCTTTTATTATTATAATTATAATTATTATTATTATTTTAATTCTTTATCATCATTTATATTATTATTATTATTATTGCTTTTATTATTAATTAAATGTATTACTGTATGTAATATATTATTATCTATTAGGCCTATTATCATCATCATCGATCATTATTATTATTATTACTATGTTGTCATATCCTCATAGGGTATTTCAAACAACGACTGGCACTGCGAAGCAACAAAATCGTACCTTGTGATGTATCACATAATCTCTTCTCCGACTGACAGTTTTAGTCAAGAAGTGGACAATCACCATTCCACCGCTGAACTGAAAGTCGATAATGGATGTGCAACTTACGTAATCAGTGTAGCGGCGAAAAATCAAGATATGACAGGGGTTAGCTCAACAGCCGTTAATGTGTCAACTACGGACTCATGTGAGTGATTTGGTTTCAGTGACGAATGAACCTTTTCATATCCTCAGTGCGTCAACTAAAGTAATTGCGTTTTATTCGCTAGTGACGCGTTTAGTTTTATGAATGCGTTAACTAAACTGATGCAAACTGTAGTAAATGACGCCTTCCGTAAAAACCATATATCACGGATATGTCATTTTTTAGTAAACTGTGTATCATTATGAAGGTTATATTAGGTATTTGACCTATATAGTTACAATCTTGGCCTTGGTCATAATGGATTATATCGATTTAACACCACTTATAGTGTGAAAGACCTCAGCTAATCACAAAACACACAGGCCTAATTTAATGTTATTTATACTGGTTTTAATGATATGGTTGTAGCCTCGGACTAAACTGAGCAAAGAGATTAACTTCTGCATTTGTTGAGACAAACATATTTATCTCTTCTTTTTACATAAATCATAACATTGATAATTAATAAGCAATAAAATAAAAAAAAATCGATTACAATCAATCATAATCAATCAATAATCCAATCAATAATTTAAACAATCATTCAATCTGTCTTTATCAGTCTATCAACCAGCCAATCAATCAATCCATCAATTGGTTAATCGATCAATCAGTTTTCAAAACTACCACCAAACCAACCAACTAATCGATCAACTATTCAATCCGTCATCAAATGATCGATAGAATTGTAATATCTTAATTTCTTTATCATGAACATATCATGAATTTTTAAAACAGCTTTTCCTTAATGCCATATGAATGTAAAGCTGATGTATTTGCATGCATCATAAACCTTTTCGTTTATTCTTGTACTACAGGTATTCGTATTTCCGTAGTTGCAGTATCTGACAAACATGTTACGATTGCTTTGAAAACGCCAAATACCACAGTAGATTTGGTCAATAGCTACAAGGTATTATTTTAGTTTACACATAAATAAATATTGCATGTCTTCATCGGCTAACTTAGTTAGGGCCTATTCAGATTTGTTATGAGATTATAGTATTAAACTATTACCATAAATGTGATTATCAGTAATAATTGAATGTACTGTTTTGTTTTTATCAATAATAAATATTATATTTACTTCATTTTATTTCAATCATATTCATAATCCATTAGGTGACCTACCAGTGTTTGTACCGACTGTACGAAAGAGCACCAAGCCACAACACAACTATCAAAACCTCTATATTTCAAGCAGACACGAATATGTTCACCGTCACAGGTCTTCAGTCCGCTTGCCATTATAACTTTACCATCGAGCGCATCTCCAAATCGTCATTAGTGACGTCAGACACATTTTCCGAGGACACACTGCCCCCACCAGGTACTGTACTCTTTTCTTCTTTCCAGGCACACCCTGCTTCTAAGGGCGGAGGCGACGCCGTCTGCTGATTTTCGGTAGCAGACTGAACGGATCGTTTTTGAAAACGATCTGTTGAGAGCGCGACTTGGCGTTGCTTTTTGTATATAATCGCGTCGGACCGACGACCATCAGGAGAAGTGGGTACCCGGCTTTAATCTGTGTATTGAATATGAAGTTGAAATGAAAGCGAAAGAGAGTAACATTATTTTTCTAATAGCAAACAACAATAATATTAATATATTTAATAGTCTATTATCAGGAGTATCATTGTATTATTATTATTATTTGTATAGGTGTAATTTTGACCTACCTGACGTGGAAATGTACCGAATACTCAGTACATTTGAAAACAACTGCGAAAAAAATCGCAATTTGTTCTCGGGTGGGACTCGAACCCACGATCTCCAGATCACTAGCCTGGCATCATACCTCTAGACCACCGAGCTTGCGGCTGATGGCCAGGGTTGAATTCGAGTCCAAGTAAGCAGCGGGTACTGCAGTGTTGATAGTAATTGTTATTGTCGTGATGGAATAGACAATAACTGGAATTTGCAATATTATTATTATTATTATTATTATTATTATTCACTTCAATTCACCTTTTTAGGATCAATTCCACAGATAGATAGAACACAATACATCTACAGTACATTTATGCACACACACCCACTCACACACACACACACACATATATATATATATTATATATATATGTATGTATATATATATATATGTACATATAATATAGTTGATAATTGATAATTATATATATATATAATTATATTTATAAAACAATTATTTAAATAATTGATTAAGCATGTACATAAGACAGCAACATATCCCTAGTGTACTGCACCGATAGAACAATAACTTAATCCTCATCATGTACATGTTTTCAATTTTAATTAATATAATTTTCGTTTAATTGCTTATTAATTATTTTCTAGCTCTCGGAAAGCCCAAATTGATTGTCCTAAACAAAACAGCAACAACGATCACCGTGAAATTCAAACCACTCGACAATTACCCGTACATAAGGTATGACCGGCAAATAGGTATTCACATGTGTTCGTTGCATGGATACAGAACTAGAGATATTTCCAAATAAAAGCATAAGAAAAATATTTATTACCATGTCTCTGTGTAAGTTTGACGCTACAGATAATTATTATCTTGATGATTATTTAACATTTAGTTGGCGAGTAAGACTGGACTACGGACATTTTATGTTGATTTAAGAAGAATATCAAATAGCTACGAATGTGTTTTTTTTTTCAAACATGACAAAATCATCCAACTAAGATATCGTCAAATTTTGATGAATCCTACAAAATTCTATGGAACGAAACATCAGGCAGTCTGCTTGTTAGTTGTTTGCCTGTGGATTGTGATTCATTCCACCTTTTATATGTTTACGAAAATAGTTAATGGCACAATAATATTTATGGGAAATAAAATATCATGGCAAAAGGTCACTTTCTGCACACGAAGACTTTGAAATTATGTAGAATTATTCTCTATTTTGTTAGATTTCGGTAAATAAGTTTAATAGACCTCACGAACGACAGTGGCGTACACAATAAGATTTTTTTGTGCATCCATTTTCATCAAAAGTATAAACTTAACGAAACATTAGTAAATTTATTTTAGTAATAACAAAAATGCTTAACATGAGATACATAAAAAATATACACATCTAGGATAGTACAGGATATAATGCATACCATATAATTTTTCTAAAGTTTTCTTTTTTCCAAGAGACCAAGCTATTTGGTGCGTCATAGTAAATATAAACTTTAAAGCGAGCAAACACTTTAAATCAACCATACTACAACGTCGCAAGTAATAACATTAATAAGCCAATTCGTAGTGAACTGCGCATGCTCGTATCCAAGGTCAATCAAGGTCAATCGACCTTGATATAAGCATGCGCAGTTCTAACTACGAATTGGATTATTGATTTATCACAAAGAAATATCAATATTATATTAATCATACTACAACCGTTTTTCACCAGAAATTACTCGTTGCTTATAATGGAAAGCTCCCATTCGATTGAAAACGCATGGAACTTAACTTTTGAAAGTAAAACCATTGGTGCAACAGCGTATACCACGGCACAGTTTCCGCCTGACGTCGGTAATATCTATTTCACGATTGGCACAAGTGATGTTGAAGACGATCTTTATAACGCACCATTGGATCCTAAGAAATCATATTATGTTAGTTTAGCACCAATCGACTACAAGAATAAGGTGAGATTTATATTTACAAGCAATTAAACTTGAGCCGGATATTGTTTCCTGAGCTTTATATAATTATATTTCTTAGAATTTCTACGAATTCATGAAAGCATAATATTTGTTAATATCCATTTTATGACTTAATCCAAACACGATCAGCTGCAGCTGATAAGGTCATTTATCGACTTTTTATCAAAACACTTAAGAATAATGGAAACATTTGTCTTTTTGTAATCATTTTATCATTATTAGTAATATTTTTGTTTATTAATAATTAAAATATTAATAATTCATTATAATTATCATCATCGTCATCTTTATCATTATTAATATTAGTAGTATTATGTTTTATGTAACATACTCTGTCCAAAACATTATTGAATAAATGGGTTCGAAAAGAAAATAGAATATAGAGAATAAAAATATTAATATTATCATTATCATTATTGTATTTATTTTCCGTATATTCTATAATGAACGTCTACATTCATGACTTCTGCGTATCAATTTTTAAACATTATGTTTGTTTACAGGTTAATTTCGATTTGGTTGAATGGCAGAATGGGACAATTAGCTCTGAAATCGAATCTCAGCCATCAGTTCAATCTTGTAAATATCATGATATCACTATTATCATCATCTTTATCATTTTCTTTTTTATTACATTATTATCATCATCATTATCATTAAATTATTTGTTTTGGTATTGTTATAGCTGTTGTTATTGGTATTAGTAATAATATCAATGACTTTATTACTAATATTTGTTTCTTTTCTACAAAGTAATATAAATAAGACCATTGAATAGGACAGTGGTTGACAAAAATTATCAATGATTCCTCAACTTATTTTAATTGTGGTTTTAATTGAAAAACCTGCTCTATACTCACTATTGATGTGTTCGATCTGGTACCAGTCAGTTGATAAAATATTTTGTCTTGCTTTAGAATTCAATATTTTAGTTAAATGTTTGATAAATATCCTTTTAGATTCTTAGCATATACAGTGTAATTATCGTGAATATGTTCAACATGTTATCGCCAAATAAAAGTCAAATTAATAAAATTAATGCCTTTTATGATCTAAATTGAATCGTTTCTTAAATTTTTCAGCGAGTCTTGCAATTGGGCCAATGGTTCTAGGTCTTTTTGGATTGATTACGTTCCTTGTACTTGTTATACTGGGTTTGCTGGTGTATTTTAGGCGGCGTGGATCACACAAGTTCCTGGAACAGATGGGATCCCACCGTCCGACTCATCCACAAGAGTACATTGACATGGTAAAAGCACATTGACATTTTTCAAAAGTTATATTACTTGCTAGTGCCTATTTCTTTGGCTTGTATGTAAAAATGATGTGAATATTCCCAAATTAGGCCTATTTAAGACTGATTTATAATAAAGCAATTTTGCCTGGCCCCTTGTTTGGACTCGGTAGCAACACTGCAGCCAGTACCAACATAATCAGAAATATTGTCCCTTATATGCTGACACTGTCATGCAAAAGCAATTCGAGGTGCAGAGCGATCAAACTCCAATTAGAAACAAAATCTAACCAAGATTTAACCGAGGTTTTCAGCACAAAAATTAAGAACATTATCTTTCTTGTAAAAACTCAGTTCTACTGTATGTATGATTTTTATCAAAGAAAATTTTTTAAGCCAAAACAATCTTAAAATGTCTATGATGTAACCATGTATGAACAAATGTTAATGCTTTAACTATAATCATTTAATAATTGTGCTATTACATCATAATATGTAGTTTGTCCGTTTTGATTACATGACGAATATACCATCACTTTTGCACAGATTATTCAATAAATTTAGAAGGACGTCGTTGTACGTATAGAATATAATAAATATGTCTATTCTAACTAAAGGAGACCCTTCAGTTAACAGCCAACAGAGGTTCCGAATTTTATGAAGATATATGCGACTACACCAAAATCGCTTGGGAGGATCTAATGATTGATGCGAAAGTTATCGGTAGAGGCAATTTTGGAGAAGTTCGACTTGGACTTCTGAAGCATGAAGGGAAGAATAAGCAAGTCGCTATAAAGACATTAGCTGGTAGGAGTTTTACTTATATTTCTAATATACAGATTAGAGATAATCTTTCTTGGAAGTGGCTTTAGTGGGTAGCTACACATCATTTTAATTGACTGAAGTACAGGTCACCAAATATCTTTTGGCCCTGGGAAAAGTTCTGTCAGCCAAAAACGTAGAGATACATTGCAGAATATTCTTATAAATTTGCGTTTGTTTAAGATTTCCAACCAAAGAAAAAAAAAATCAGATATGAGTAAAGATGTTGAAAAACTTGTAAGATTAGGCATATCAGTGGTGGTGCTCTTAACAAGTTACTAGTCTCGTTTGGGACTTAATTACCAAAATAACGTTCAGTCTACGATGTTTTGGTTTAGAATATTTTATTTAATAAATTTTTAATATAAATTTTATGGTTTTTTTTCTAGCTTGTGAAAATCCGTATTACAGATTTTGTTTACAAACATGTTTTAGCGGCCAGGGTTAATCCTAACCAATAGGCTCGCTAACGCGGCCTCATAGCTTCTTCTTTTTTTTTTTTGCTAGAGCAGCCGAATGGTAGTGTATTCGAACGGTCTTTGGATCGAGTTCCGATGTAAACAAAATGTAATTTTAATTTCTATATGTTGTTTTTGTCTTGTGCACTAACAAAAAAGTCAACACACTTTTTGCAGAGAATGCCGTAAACAAAGCAAAAACAGACTTTTTGACAGAACTTAACATAATGGCGATGATTGGGGATCACGAGAATGTTATCCATCTTATTGGAGCGTGTATCAATGAAGGTAAGCAACAAAAACAAACTTATTACATCTTAATTTTTATGGATGAAGGAAAATTGAAGTTTGGTGTTTGTGTTGCTTAGCGCATATCCCAAGTTATAGGTTAACTCTAAAATAGGTAGTGTTTTTATACTAAGCAACTGTTGACAAGTGTTTTTCAATTAGACCTAATAACTTATTCGAATACTTGCAGAAAGTCGAATGTGCACACCTTGTTTCTTTATAAATCCTAGTAATTTAGATTGAGCCCTCGTTGACGGAGACCGATTTTCCTGTATCTCAATGTCAAAGACAGATGCGCATTTATTTACAAGGGGAAATTATAATTGAGATAATTATCACTGAACAAGAAATTATATATAAGCATAAGAACGTGTCTCTGAAGTTATATTAATGGACCTTTCCGCTAAGCTCCGCCCCTTGGATATTGTTGCTAAGGTCCCACAAGACGGCAGTGTTAAAACATACGCGGACACGTGCGTTTGTGGGACAACACGTGTGTTTGTAAGACGCGCGCGTATTCGTAGAGCTGTTCTGATTAGTCGGTTGTTAAGTTTGATTGACACTCCGGAAAGGTCTATTATCCTCTAATACCATATTGTGTTAAATGTGAGCGCTCCCGGCGTCCCCAATCCCCGTTTATTTAAAAACTAATGGACCGGTAATTGTTTTCCAGTTTACCACTGACCGAACATTTAGTTTACATGTTTAGTCCAATAGCACGCCCACGTTTCTGTACCTTGGTTGTACAATTTTAATGTGCGTTTTTTTCAGTCTAATACTACTTTTTAAAATTTTCGTTAGGTACTCTCTATGTGGCCATGGAGTATGCCAAGCACGGAAATCTTCTAACGTATTTGAAGCTTAGTCGAGAAGAACATTTATATTCGAACAGTTCGGCGATGAGGTCAAAGGACGACCATTTTATGTCCTCCATTAGTTCAGATCAGCTTTTGAAATTTTGCTGGGACATTGCTAAAGGAATGGATCACCTGACTAGTCGAGGGGTGAGATAATAAGATTTGACATGAGTTTCTTTTCTCAGATTATCAGATTTTCTTTGACAAATAAAAAACAATGTTGCATTTCCATATATCGAAGTTATTAAGTTGGACACACACAGTTCTGTGTGAACGCTGCCAACGCGATGTAAATACTGAGGAAAAATACTTATGCAATCATTACATTCAACTTTTATCTACTGTGACCTGCTGTCTATTTGTTTGATTCAAAGGAAGTAAAACGCATGTGGTTATGTTTTGACAGTAAAACTATATTTTCGCTCGTATATCTTGTTTCTGTACAATGTGCCTTGAAAGTTTGAATCAGGTCTTTCGTTTAGCTCATATCACTGATCACTTTAGTGACATATGTATGTATAATAAAAGTAATTAAAGCAAATATTAGAAACGTAATTTTATTGGATAGCTGATCTCGGTTGAGATAAAAATTGATCAGTAAAAGGTAAATTGTAAGCGTAATTTAAAGTCAGAAATAGAGTCAAAACTTTCGAACAACACTAGTCTTTCCTCAGAGGCAAGTGATACTGATTATAAGTATTATTCTTTTTTTCATTAATCAATATTTATCAGGTTATCCATCGGGATTTGGCAGCAAGGAACGTGTTACTTGATCACAACTTGACAGCGAAAGTATCAGACTTTGGTCTTTCTAGAGATGAAAATATGTACGTCATGACAACAACGGTAGGTGGCGCTGTCTTCTTAAATTTGTGTGTCCACAGCTTATAAGAGCATTATACAAAAAAAAAATACAACGACCAGACAGTGCTGATGTATTTTGTGCCTTGATGATTATGTTGTTCAAAATTAATAACATTTAAACTGATTAATAAAATATGATTAAGAAACGATAAACATTTCATATTCATAAAAACAATTCAGGACTTTCAGGACGAACCAGAAATCAACTTATTTATATTAAAACGTCGAGGAATCATGATATTAAAGTTATAATAGCCTAGTTATAACGATACATTATGAGAAATATAATCTTATTGATAATATAAGGTTTTTTTTTTAAATTAAGTAATGATATTTAGCTATTTTTGAATCCGTCAATTTTTTCTTATGTTTCGTAAAGCTTATTTAATATAGGAATACAAACAAATCGCCAATTTGTTCCCAAACGTGACTTAAACCAATAATACCTGCTTTCATGATGCCAGAAGTTCTCTTCATAGTTTCAAAAGTATAATTAATAGTTGATCATCTGATAGGGAATTTTACTTTTCAGTCCAATGGTATTGTTTGGGTTGTCTAAGAATGATTTATTGTTGGCTATATTTTTGTTTGTCGATATATTATTACAGTTTAGAATTCTGTATTACAGCACTCCTTAATGTATTTATTTCCTAATTATCTATATAGCCGGCGTCAGTTGGCGATGTTAAATGATTAAATTTTCTTGTGAGGTTTACCACCTTATTATAGATACCTTTGATTTGGCGACAGTGCTATTTGTAAAATATCGGAACAATTAATAGTTAGAACGAGAAGTTTTAGGGAAAGCCCCTTTTTTATCGCAAGTAATTGAAGACTAAAAGCAACCAATAATGATAGGAATGAAGCTGTAGCTTGGTGGTTAAGATGCCTAACACAGGGTCCTGAGCTCAAACATTGTCACTGCATAATTTTTTCTCATTAGAGAGTACAAAAACGTTAACGAATATGGTTACGTCATCAAATTTGTAGACAACCCTTCCCATACAATAGCATATATCTGTCACGACGCAGGCGATTTATGCCTTTTGAATGAATCAATGATCGTATTCATCTCGTACAGCATATTGTTAGGAATGTTTTAGGCTAGACTGGGCTCCAGTCCCTAATCTTTGTTTTTAAATCGATTTTGGAACAGTTTCTCGATATATACCGTCGCTAGTGGCGCTCTCCAAAATTAGCTAATACTAGGAAAACCTATAATTAGAGACTTGTGGCAAGTCTAGTTTTTAGGCACGATCATGCATTTTTATTATAACTGTTTTTGTTTTAGGGACGAGTACCCGTGAAATGGATGGCTCCGGAATCAATTATGTATCAAACATATACATCAAAAAGTGACGTGTAAGTATGTTTTATAAATAAAATGAGGCTTGTTATTCCAAAACCAGGGTAATGTCGAATAGCATAGAAGGATTCAACGGAGAGGGCGTCATAACCTTATTTAATATTAAACTATTATTACGTACGGTACTTTCGTAGAAGACTTTAAAAATGTTATATAAACATGTAATAGAAACAATGCTTGATTCCTAATGTTAATTTATATCGTCTCCAATTATACTTTCAACAAATTTCGCATCAACAAAGAATTGTTTGGCCTCAATAAAGCTAGGCTTTGTAAGGTCGTATATTCGCAGTATGAGGGAATTTAATCTAATAAGAACATTTTCGCAGAAGGTCTCTCCTATCCTTGATACAATCAGAACTTCATTTGTTGAGCACTTTTTTATCATTTAAATAATATATATATATATATTTATACACATCTCATACGCGGACACGTGCGTTTGTGGGACA